CTTTAAACACTTGAGGAGGGAAGCATGCTAAAGGGAGACATGATTGCTCAATCCGGAACCTAAGTTACTATTATTGTACAGTGTATAATGCTATTTTGTGTCCCAGGTACCAGCATTCAGCATCTGTGGGACTTTGCTTATAAATACATTTGATTGGAGATTTACCACTAAAACCATTTATGCTACCAGCCCTAGAGCCAGTCCTAGAAAAGTAGCCCAACTGTAGGCTTTCTTTCCAAACTTAAGTGCTCCTGGCTTCCAGATACATTGCCCAACCCAGCATCTAGGATTCTAAAAATGGTTGATGCTGATGTGAAATGAATGTGTAGAACAAATAAAGGATAAAACGTCCACAATGCAACTAGGCAATCCGATTTCCGAAGTAGAGCATATTCAACCTGAGTCAAAGCTGTGGTAAAGTTAAGAGTCTTACCGTAGTAGTCCATCCCCAAGATTGATAGAGATATGTATGTACAGCCACTCTCACAATCAGTACTCTTAGACATTTTTAATAATCTGCCACCCCTGAAAAAATGAATTTAGCACATCAAAGATCTTATGGATTAAAATAAACTACAGCAGTCTCCAACTTTACAATAGTTTGACTTAACAATTTTTTAACTTAACGATGGTGTGAAAGTGATACACATTCAGCACATTCTCTACTTTGGGGTTACATTCAGAAACCCATCATAAATTTAAAATATCATAAATCAGGCCAGGCACAGTGACTCACGCCTGGAATCCTAGCACTTTTGGAGGCCAAAATGGACGGATCACCTGAGATCAGGAGTTGGTCAGGAAACCAGCCTGGCCAACATGTCGAAACCCTGTCTCTATTAAAAATACAAAAATGAGCTGGGCATGGTGTTGTGCGCCTGTAGTCCCAGCTACTTGGGAGGCTGAGACAGGAAAATTGCTTGAAACCAGGAGGCAGAGGTCCCATTGAGCTGAGACCATGCCAGAGTACTCCAGCCTGGGTGACAGAGCAAACTGTTTCTCAAAAAAAATAAAAAATAAAAACATACAACTTAGAATGGATATATTAGAAAGTAGCCCCATTGTAAGTCAAGGAGCATCTGTATATCCAGCAGGTAAGTTTTTTTTAATCATTGGTAAGCACACTTTAGAGAATACCCATTAGCTCTGTAGAGCTTGGCAGGGGTAAAGCCATAGCTGCTGGTTGAGTATGTTTTCTGAATCTGACAAGCCATACTCATCTGACTGAAATAAAATTGGGAAATAGTTTTTGAAGATGGGGTCTTCAGGATCAATTCCATTTGTATTAGGTATAACTACTGGTGAGTCAGATTAGTATTCATCAGCCCATAAAAGGAGAAAATGAGGTTGGGTGTAGTGACTCACTCCTGTAATCCCAGTACTTTGAGAGGCCCCAGTGGGATGATCTTCAAGTCCAGGAGTTCTAGACCAGCCTGGACAAGAGAGCAAGACCCTGTCTCTGAAAAAAAAACAAAAAACAGGCATAGTGGTATATACACCCTGTAGTCTCAGCTACTTGGGAGGCTGAGGTGGGTGGATCTATTGAGCCCAGAGATTCAAGGCTGCAATGAGCTATAATTGTTGCACCACACTCCAGCTTGGGCTACAGAGGGAGACCTTGTCTCCACAAAGAAAAGAAGTATGGCTTCAAGCTACACTCAAACTAAGATCACAATAAAGTGTTGAGTATGTCTGAATATGTATGGGTATGTTTGTGTCTGAGTGTATTTCCACCTGCATGCTAAGGTATGTTTGTGTGTCGAGTATATTTCCGCCAGTATGCTAAGTTTTGACACATGCAAGCATCTAACTTGGGTTCTACTGCCCTTCCTTTGCTCAAGGCGTAGATTATAATTGTTAATTCTCAGAAATTCGGCACTTACCTATTTTCCCTTTATTTCAAGGTAGCTGATAGTTACACTGCAAAGTGTAAGTTTCTCCTTTAAAAACTAAGAGATCGAGCATAGTAGCTCGTGCTTGCTGTCCCAGCACATGGGAGGCTGAAGCGGAAGGGGTTGCTTCAGCCCATGAGTTCAGAACCAGCCTAGGCAACAAAGTGAGACACTCAGGGCTGCAGTGAGCCATGATCACACCATCCTGGGTGACAGAGTAAGACCCTGTCTCTTAAAAAAAGAGAGGGAGGGCCTGGCGCGGTGGCTCAAGCCTGTAATCCCAGCACTTTGGGAGGCCGAAGCAGGTGGATCACGAGGTCAAGAGATCGAGACCATCCTGGTCAACATGGTGAAACCCCATCTCTACTAAAAAAATAAAATAAAATAATTAGCTGGGCATGGTGGCGCGTGCCTGTAATCCCAGCTACTCAGGAGGCTGAGGCAGGAGAATAGCCTGAACCCAGAAGGCAGAGGTTGCGGTGAGCTGAGATCGCGACATTGCACTCCAGCCCGGGTAACAAGAGTGAAACTCTGTCTCAAAAAAGAGAGGGAGAAAATGTATATAGATGTTTTAAGGCCAGAGACTATAGAAGCCAGGAAGGAAATAGTAGATATGATCTGTCATAATTCAGGGTGATAATTAGTTGCACAATTAGGACAAGTTTTGTTGAGGTGATGATTGCGATGGTATTTGTTTCTCTCCTGACTTGGTCTAAAAAGTGTTTGTGGCAGTCTTAGAGAATGCTAATACGAGCTGAGACTCTTTATGAACTTGCTGGCCATCATCTTTATTGACTTAAGATTGTTTTAATAGAAGTAATAATAATGATGGGTGCCGTGACTCATGCCTGTAATCCCTATACTTTGGGAGGCTGAAGGCAGGTGAATCACTTGAGGTCAGGAATTCAAGATCAGCTTGGGCAACATGGTGAAATCTGTTTGTACTAAAAAACAAAAATTAGCCTGGCATGGTGGTACGTGCCTATAACGCCAGCTACTCAGGAGGTCAAGGCACGAGAATCACTTGAAGCCAGGAGGTGGAGGTTGCAGTGAGCTGAGATTGCATCATTGCACTCCAGCCTAGGTGAGCCTAGGTCACAAAGCAAAACTCTGAGAAAAAAAAAAGTAATAATGAATATAAAATATGGTATTATTAAGTGAATCTGTATAGAGAATTATATAAGCATTAGTCAGGCTTAAGTTTTAATTGTATCTGTAACCAGTCCCTGTCTACCCTTCCCTCAACACTATTACCCCAGAGATCAAACACCCTAAGACAGCAGCCAGTGTTTTGGCATTTAATAGATACTTTTAACATTTGAAAAGAATGAACATATGGTTATGTGATACTTTGGGGGTAACCTAACTGGAAAGAAAGATTATAAATAAACAGATGAAACTAATATTAATATGAATATTCTAATTCTATTTATTTGATCATTTTCTCTCAGCTAAAAAATTGCCAAAGAATGAACCACAAAATCCAGGAGCAAATTCCGCCAGAGGAAGAGGAGTAGACCTTACTGAACCTACACAACCAACCAGGAGTCAGTGTTGTAGTAACTAAACCTCTAGTTTGAACTAGCTGGAATAGTCTTCTGCTTCCTAAATGGTAATAACAATGGAATTGGAGCATTTAACCAGCCCACTATGACTTCCAAAAGAAGAGACTTACGATAGAGTCAAGTTTCTAATACAGAATTATTTTAAGTGTTTCGAACTTAATTTTTAATAACATGCATGGGTCCCTCTTAGTAATGTTTCAGCAATAGGGAAAAATGAGAACTATGTGGACATTTGTTTCATTGGAAGGTTAGGGGAAATAATTTCCCATCACTAGAAATATAGACAAATGAGTGTCTGGACCCACACAGTTAACCAGCCCATTTCTCCACACTGGTACAGTAATCACCTGTGAAAAAAATTTGGAACTTACTAATTGGAGCTTTTCAAAAACATTCTTTTTTTAGAAGAAGATTCTAAAGTTACTTACGATGCTTAGCTGTAGTATTCAAGCAAATGTTCATTTCTCCTGGTACCTGTATTTAAATTGTACATTCCACATTTTAATGAATTAACCACAAGAAAATAATCCCACATATACAAGGTGGGGGTCGGGGGGCAGGGAAGAGTATTAATGGTATCTAAATTATAGCCAGTCCTGTTTTTTTTAATGGGGTAAAAAAAAATGCAACCCCATCTTGTTCTAGGAATTTGAGAACTAATAAATGCATCTTAATGGATAGTGTTTCTTACAAACATATGAGTTCTTTAACAAAAATGAAATAAACCAGGTGTCTGTGATTTCTAATTAATCACTGCTGGCCATTACATAGATTTTGTTGTTTGGGGCAGGGAGGGGGCTTTTGTTCCCTTTTGACATAATATAGTCAATGCACTAACAATTATGTATATTCAAACTTGATTTTAAATTTGACGTTCAGCTGTACTGTAAATAGGGTACTGCATTGTAGTCTCCATATATGTATTACTTTTCTGTAATATTTAAGAGTTGCTTAAAAGTATACAAAATGTACAGTTACTAAAACAGCTAATTATTTCTCTCTCTCCCTTTGGCAGGAAGGGGCTTCAGTTGTTCCTCCATGGCTAGAATCATAATAAACAATGTACCCACAATTTGTAACATAAAGTATTGCAATATGTTAGTAACAATCTTGCAGCCTTCTTTTCCAAAGTTCATTTTATTTTGATCAGTTCAGTATATTGCACTAATTATTTTAGGTATTTTCATTATATGAAAGCTACCATGTGTCAGAGATGATTTAATCTATTTAAGTGTTGGACTGCTAGGAGAACTTGTACATTTATGATAATGCAGAATTAGGAAAACGGTTCACCAGTGTTTAGTTTTATATTGAGGTGCTCAGGTTGGAATAAAGTGGTATAAAAAGTATTGGTTTCTCTCTCTCTCTCTCTTTTGTTTTTGTTTTTGTTTTTTTTTTGGCATAAAACAGTTAATGTATATAAGTGATATTATGTAACCTAATAATCCGCTTTTATATTTACTATCTTTATAAAATTATTTGTGTGGTATTGATGAATTATCCTAATATCTGGATCATTAGAGAATTGCTTTATGGTGTTATATTTTGGTGTGCTGGATAATTGGAACTTTATTTTTTATGTCAGAAACTGATACTTCCATTGAGAAATATTACCATAACTGTAATGTTATCTCTGGAGCCAGCCAGTAAAGCAGCATTTACAAGTTCATGGCTAACATACTCAGCTGCACCTTCATAGAAACTCTTAGTGCCTAATTCTTTTTCATTTATTGCCACACCATTTACACTGGTTGGTCTGTCAGTTACTTTTTCACTGCAAGGTTCATGATGAATCGTTTCTGCTGGAAATGTTTCTACATTCTCAGGGTTATAAATGGAACATTTAGAATAGTTTGAATCAGACAAATTTTCTTTGGAATTTTTAGTTGACACACATTCTTTAGATTCAGATTTATACTGAAACAATAAGTGGATATTACTTTGTGATTTCGTAAAGATTGGTTCACTGTTTAAAAAAAGCAGAGGCCCTTTGGATGGTGAAGATTTGTTATGCATGATAGAACAGTATGTTTCTTTATACACGTGAAATGTTGTCATTGCCAAGGCAGTGACTTCTTCTTTATCCAAAACTTCCCAAAGTCCGTTAGTAGCTAAAATAAGGAATTGACATAAGTCATCTATAGGGACAGAAATAGTTTGAGGTGCTGGGATAATGGATTTTTTCAGCTTGAGATTTCCATGAAATCCAAGTCCTCGTGTAGTTTTTACTTGCCCTTCTACCAGCCCGTATGGTTCATTTGCGCTAATGACTGCTCCATTCTGAAGTATTCTTCTTCTTTCATTTGTGTTTCGTGTAGTATGGTCTTTGGTGAGGCAAAAACCTTTCCCATTTCTGCATAAGACTGCTTGCACGTTACCTAAAAGATTATTTTTTAAAAGAATAAATTTTCATCCTAGAGATAACTAATTGTATCAAAATCTGCTATTAATTCTGTGTTTCAATGCTAAACAGAAAGCAGACTATTTAAAGGTGTTTTTAAAATATGTGTAATATATCACTACTGAAAGATTTATAGTAAATACAGGTTTCAAACAAGTCCATTTATCCCTCACTGATAATTTTTTTTAATTAATTTATTTTTATTATACTTTAAATTCTGGGGTACATGTGAAGAATGTGCGAGTTTGTTACATAGGTAAACATGTGCCATGGTGGTTTACTGCATCCATTCCTCCGTTATCTGCATTAGGTATTTCTCCTAACGGTAGCCCTCCCCAATCCTCCCACCCACTGCTATCCCACCCCTGGCCTTCCCACCCCTCATCAAGTCCTAGTGTGTGATGTACCCCTCCCTGTGTTCATGGTTCTCATTGTTCAACTCCCACTTATGAGTGAGAACTTGGGGTGTTTGGTTTTCTGTTCTTGTGTCAGTTTGCTGAGAATGCTGCTTTCCAGCTTCATCCATATCCCTGCAAAGGACGTGAACTCATCCTTTTTTATGGCTGCACAGTATTCCATGGTGTATATGTGTATTCCATGGTGTATATGCTAACATTTTCTTTATCCAGTTTATCATTGATGGGCATTTGGAAGGTAAGTCTTTTTTCAATTTGAAACACAAACTTTGATTTTTGTTTTGTTTTGTTTTTTGAGACGGAGTATTTAGACGCCAAGGCTGGAGTGCAGTGGTGTGATCTCAGCTCATTGCAACTTCTGCTTCCTGGGTTCAAGTGATTTTCCTGCCTCAGCTTCCCGAGTATCTGAGATTACAGGCATGTGCCGCTACACCCAAATTTTTGTATTTTTAGTGGAGTTGGCATTTCGCCTTGTTGACCAGGCTGGTCTCGAACTCCTGACCTCGTTATCCACCCGCCTCAGCCTCGCAGAGTGCTGGGATTACAGGCATGAGACACTGCACCTGGTTACAAACTTTGATTTTTTAAAAAAATAGAATGACAGTTATGTAACTGATAAAAGTTAAATCTTGGATGTACTTAGGTCATGGGTGATGAAAAAATTAGAATGCCACTATTAATGTTAGTCTTACTAGGTTCCTGTAATGTATAGATTTTAAAAAGCCAATCAGTCCTCTGAATTTAAGTGTTATTAACATACTACATGAATAACAGGTAGCTACCATTAAACCCTTTGGTTGGAAACTGAAAAAAGTTGGTTGTAGTTTTTTCATGGTTCAAATGAATCCATGATGGTGTGCTTCCTTGAAATCTTTACCGTTTAAACATGATCTGAACAGATAAGCATGGTTATGTTACTGTAACTTTCTTTGGTGTATTTTTTTTTTAGAACCACTGAATTTTTTAGTTAGGAAAAATTGATTTCCCCTAAGTTTTTAGGTAAAAATCACATATAATTACATACTGTTTATTCTTGATATGAAATCATTTGTCATTTATAAAAAGTTACCTAAACTGTGCTGAGATGGGGTTAATGATATTTGAATATCATATCTTTGAGATTTAAAATTACTGGAATAGGATGCCAAATTTACATAGAATATTCTAGTTTTAAATATGATGCTGTGCCTGGGATCATTTAGTTGCTTGCAGGAGAAGTTTAGTTCTAGACCCACAGTTTTTTAGATAAAATAATTGAGGCTTAGAAGATTGAGGTCCAGGGCCAGGTGTGGTGGCTTACACCTGTTATCCCCGCACTTTTGGAGGCTGAGGCAGACAGATCACTTGAAGCCAGGAGTTTGAGGCCAGCCTGGGCAACATGGCAAAACCCCATCTCTACTAAAAATACAAAAAATTAGCCAGGTATGGTGACGCACGCACGCTTGTCATTCCAGTTAGTCGGGAGGCTGAGACACCAGAATTGCTTGAACTCAGGAGGTAGAGGTTGCAGTAAGCCGAGATCATACCACCGCACTCCAGCCTGGGTGACAGAGCAAGACACACACACAAAAAGGTTGAGGTCCATGCAACTAGTATAGTAGTATAGTTGGAAAGCCCAAATTGGTAGCCAGCGTGGTAACTCATGCTTGTAGTTCCAGCACCCTGGGAGGCTGAGGTAGGAGGACCACTTGAAGCCAGGAGTTTGAGACCAGCCTGGCCAACATGGTGAAACCTGTCTTTACTAAAGTAGCCAGGAGTGGTGGTGCACACCTGTAATCCTAGCTACTCAGGAGACTGAGACATAAGAATTGCTTGAACCCTGGAGGCGGAGGTTGGAGTGAGTCGAGATCGCACCACTGCACTCAAGCCTGCATGACAGGGGAACCTAAGTTGGTACGGCATTAGTGTCGGATATAGACAAACTATTGGCTCATTTACATAATAGAAATTTTTAATAGCTATACTATTGGATTGGGACTAAAAGAGATTTGTGAAAAATATTTTGGAAACAACTACATAAGTCGTAGTTCTAGGTTATAGGGCCCCTCCTTTATAGTTTGGTTATTAATACTTTATCTTACTGTTGGTTATTCTACTTGGATTTTGTAGAACGTTAAGTCAGTAAAATCTTGACTTGCTGAATTATACATTATTACTGTATCAGCAAAGCAACATGGAGTGGTACTTAACATGCCGAGTAAATAGAATTGTTAGGAGTACATATGGTTCAGTACCTCTTAAATTAGAACAATTTTTATATGTGTACATAAATACGAATTGTGTGGCCATAGCTCTGAAAACAAAAAGGACATAATTTGGCTCAGAATAGTCAAATCCATTGACTGCATACATATTTACATGTGGCAAGCCAAAGCCCATTTTAACAAAAAGAAAAAGCATTGTTTTCCCGCTGCGTGATTTGGAAATAATTTAATAGAAATATGTATTTACAATGGAAGGATGGTAAACAGGTTATTTTTATTTTAGTTACCTCTGCAGAGAGCTTGACCAGTGTAGCCTTGTGCACTGTTTGCCCTTTTTTTCCTGTGCTAGAGAGCAGGACATAGCATCTTGGCCCATTTTATTACTTGTGGCCATCCTTTGGGTTCAGCACAATAAAATATTCTAGGATAAAGGACATTAAATCCTGGTTGCAGTTCTTGCTCTACCCATTAGAAAGGGAGATAATGCTTTTTTTTTTTCTTTTGGAGACAGGATTTCACTCTCATCCAGGCTGGAGTGCAGTGGCATGATCGTGGGCTCGCTGCAGCCTTGACCTCCCTGGGCTCAGGTAATCCTCCCGCCTCAGCCTCCTGAGTAGCTGGGACTAAAGGTGTGTTCCACCACATCCGGCTAATTTCTGTATTTTTTAGTAGAGACGGAATTTTGCTGTGTTGCTGGTCTCAAACTCCTGGGCTTAAGTGATCCTCCCACCTTGGCCTCTGAAAGTGCTGGAATTAAAGGTGCCAGTCACCACCTGGCAGCACATTCTTTACCTGTGTGAATGGTGCATGAAGGAAAGAAAAAGTGAAGGAGAAGTAGCTGGCATTTCTTAACTATTTGTGTATATAACCCAGGAAGTAGAGGGTGAATATTCAGGCTCAGGAAGACTACTAACAGAATGAACTAAAAAATTAGATGTGCAGAGTCAATAGTTTCATTTTGTAAACAGTGAGTGGCACATGCTGTCAGCTACAAACAGGGTGTTTGAAGTCAAGTGCTGTATTAAACTGAAAGCTTGAACAGGATAATGAACAAAAGGTTTCCATGAAGATGGGAAATTAGAGGAAGATTATTAAATATCACTGTTATGTCCACATAGTCTGGAGAATTGGAGACGGAACAGCCTTCGGATAGTTTAAGAGAAAGGGCAATTTGGCTTTAAAAAAAGTTTCTTCCAACATCTGTTTGGAGGAAGTGAGAACAGCTGACCAAGCAATGAACTGTGTTGAAGACCACTACACAATTTTAATCTGAACATAAATGAATTTAATTCCTAGACAAAGGTAACAGCTTTCAGTATTTGGTGAGCCTGTGCTCTTCAGAAAATGTTTTCAGAGCAAAAATGGAACAGGATTACTAGAAGAGCAACATGTTTAGGAACAATAATCTTGGGGATTAAAAAGAGCCGCTTTGAGATGATACTTAAGCCTTTTAAAAGTGGCATAGTCAGGTAAAGTGTTTCTTATGCGGAGGGTAATGATGTGATTGCCTCCTGTGATTACTGGGTTATCTCCAACTTTTATGAAAAGGAAAAGTCCAGTAAACTTCAGAGTGAACTCTGGAATCCCAGCCAGTTAATTCTGGACTTGAGTAGGCAATACTAAGATTGTTCTCAGATAAAGCCAGAAAGGTGACTTAGTGTTGATTAGAACAGAAAAGTTTTGAGAAAGAATGAGAGAAGAGGAAAAGAAACTTTATATGGTGGTCAGAGAAAACATACGTGATGGGTGAAGCAGGAAAAATAAAAACACACCTAGGATGCACAAGATTGCCCAGGGGTAGTAAGACAGTCTGGTAGAGAAAAACAGCATGGGGAGTGGAGGGATTTAGGAGTCTGACACACTCAGACTTTAACCCCAACCTTTTGTCATTGTGGCCTTTATTAGGTCACTTTACTAAGTAATAGGTTTTCACCTGCAGTATTACTTGTCAAAGTTATTGTGAGACTCAAGCTAATTTAGTAGGTAGACTCTTAAAGTTTATTTAGTGTTCCAAGAAGGGGAAAGCAGGTAGAGAGGCTATCCAAAAGAAATTCAGGGGAAATGACAAACGTTTCATTTCAGACCCATTTATAAAGAATTATAAGAAAATACGAAGTAGAATTACAGAATTACTTGAGAGAGTAGTCAGTGGTAACTTGGAAAAATTGAAATAGTTATTGAGGAAAGGAAAAATTACAGTTATTAAAAAGCATAAATAGAGTTGCATGAAATAAGGTGAGGGGAAACAGTCCATATCCAGTTTTTCTTCAGGGCTCTAGTTTGAGCCAAAGAAGCTGAATTTGTTGAATTTTATTTTGTGAAGTATTTGTTGAATGAGTTCTCAGAATCAGGTTTGT